GAAGGAAGCTATGCGCGTCCATCCAGCTGTAGCCATTTCCCTGCCACGATCAACTCCTCGCAGTGGAGCGCAGGTCGCAGGAGAACATATCCCCGGAGGCGTGAGTTTTGTGCAGCTGATTTGCAATTTGATGCGGGTCATTTACTGACAAGTCGTAGACGACTTTGGGTATCTGGCAATACGCCCTCTATCACGACCCGACCAAGTTTCTTTACCCCGACTCCTTCATTCCTGAGCGATGGTTGGACGACAAACGCTTTGAAAATGACGCTAAACACATGCACCAACCTTTTTCATACGGTCCTCGGAACTGTCTGGGCATGAAGTAAGTGCTGCAAAGACAGCCAGTTAGCCTGCTGGCTACCTTCCTCCATGCTTCGGTTTGCTGACTCTCTTCTTCTTTCTTTAGTCTTGCTTACGCTGAGATGCGGTTGATTCTTGCTCGCATTATTTGGAATTTTGACCTGGAGCTTGAGCCTCAGAGCCAAGAATGGGCGACGAATCAGAAGGTGTTCTTCTTTTGGGACAAGCCGCCTTTGTGGACATACTTCAAGCCCAGACGGTCTTAGAATGCAACCAAAAACCCAAGCTATCGATATTTAGAAGGATTTTTGTATAGTACCTTATATAACACAAAGTATTGAACATCTTTCACACACTGCTGTATGGTTAGTTAGTCGGATGGGTTCGGGTTGACACAGAGGTACACGTAGATAGACGCTTTCTGAAATAAAATCGGGGAGATTCGATTGAAGACATCAAGTCATTGTACGGTCGTCGACTGTCTTCCGGAATATGGCATACTATCTGATTACAGCTCACGTCGGTGGTAGTAGTCAAGAGTCGGCGCAATGCTTATTCGAGAGCACATATACGTCTTAGGTTAAATGAAATCGACAATTGCTAGCACTTGTGTTCCAAGCCAATTCCGCGAAGTCCAATGGTTCTCGAAGGCCAGAAAATTATCGAGTGTTGCAATGAATGAACACACTGGAAACTGCCTGGATAATGCTGTCGCAACGCGACGTCGCTCACTGAGGGATTTGTTTTTGTCTCCATTGCTCACCGAGAGTGTCCTTATCAGCACAACCAATGGATTGTTTCGAGCATACACTGAAACCTATTTCAGTACACAGGAAATCAAATAGCGTAGACGAAGGAAATGGTAGGTGGTCTTTCATATAATTCCTCTAAAATGCTTCCTGATAGTCCTGCAAAGTCGGATTATGATGATATGTATTAATCTAGTTACCGGACAGGCAAGCGCGTACGTGTATGAGTACAGGTGCGTTCCTATTCTATTACTGCCGATAACTTTGTCAAGATGTCTCAGGAATTACTTCACAGGATGGCCGGGTTGTTCATCATCTCAATAACTCCAGCACCCGTGGAATTGGCGTCTCCAACCCGTCCTCCAGTTGTGAGCCCGATCCATCGTGAGTACACTCTCTCACCAGGAGTTGTCGAAGTGAGTTTCTCCATGGAAAATGCGTATTTACCATCAAGCTGATTGTCGATCTCAATCTCCCAGTTTTCCACGGCTGATCCGGGTTCCAGTGGGACTGCAGTCCCAGGTCCCTCGAGACTAACTTTGACAGTCGAACAGGCAGAAATAACTGGCTTCCCATTTTCAGCGAGATAAACGCTAGATGTTACATTCAACGACTCATCAAGATGATAGAAGAATACCAATGCGTATCTGCCGACGTTCGAATGGCCCCAGTACCATTGGTGCAGGTTATTCTGGAAACCTGCTGTGCCCCAGTTCTGTATAGTCATGTCGTCAGAGCAAACCTCTCAACAAGGAGACTTAGAAAAATACCTGATCATGATATCCAGAGCCAGAGAAAGAGAGATCAGTTCCGTTGATGATTAGGTTGACGGTGGCGTGCGAGTCTGGGATGGTGTTGGCCCAGGAGAGATACGGGGCGAAGTTAAAGGAACCTCCAGGAGTGTTGAGCCCACATGCGACGTGGGCAGGAGCACGGGAGCGCATGGTGATCTTTCCCGATATACCAGCTTGTGGCAGGTCTAGCGTGAGATGATAGACTCCCAGGTCAGAGGATCCAAACCAAGTCATCGCTCCATCATCCACAACGCCTTGCGACCCATCACCGACAGTGCTCAGCTGAAGGTCTCCAACGGGAATAGGGGTGAAAGGAAATAAAGTTCCGTTAGGCCAAAGAATCTGGAGTAGGACTGCGCTCGACTCGGGAAACCACCCCGGATAGAATTGCGCGACGAGGAGGGCATCTGCGTTATGAGACACGGCGTCAAAATACCACCACTGGTAAGCCGACCCATTATTGACCGCGATGTGAGGACCATCAAATGCTGAAAGGCCAATGATGCTGTCCGCTGCTGTGGTGCCATTGAACTGCCCCGTAGGTATGACATATGTTTGAGGCTGTATGGAGGCAATGGCCAGTCCGCTCAACATCGAAAGACACAGTACAGTGTTTTTCATATTGGTAGGAATCTGAAATGCAGGTAGAAAAGATTCAAGTTGAAACTTGAAAGACGTTGGCGAAAGACCTTGATCGTGCTTTTGTCGAATGTGTTTAGCCCTGGATGGAATAAACTCAGCTGATGTAGATTTCGCCGACTGCAAGCAAGTATTGGAATGTCCATGTGCCTTTATATGCTCGATGTAGCCGAAGTTCGGGTTCTGGAATCGGGTAAAACCCACATGCGGACGAACACGAACATCCGCAACGCCGTTCGTTGACAAGATATTACGAACGACGTCGTCTGCGACCTCTCAGCTCATTGGAGACACCCATGATCGTATTATGGAGCTCGGGAAATCGATGTGGCTGAGCCCAAATTATGCTAGCTTATAGTATGGATAAACCGGAATGTCAGATTTGTTCTTATTCGACGTGGCCAGGGTGGGTTAGATTGCTTCGTACACCAAAGCCTCTCTTTGCCCAGTTGATGCATGAATCGATTATCGGCCGAACTTTGTATCGAAGATCATCTGCTATATGCAATTCATGAGATTCAAGAATGACTACTCGGGAGAGAGGAGGAGTGTCCAATGTGCGCGGCAGCTGGCTATAATCAATAAATCCACACGCTCACTGCCGAAGGAAACCCAATGTTTGCGGAGAACGCAATGTATTTCTTGATACTCAAGGCCATTGAACTTCACTGTCAGTCAATAAAGACGGCACGAAATCGCGCTGGCTTTCTTTTCCATCTCCTGTTTCTGACGTTCAGGCATGCTATGCCTCAATATTATACAGCTTTTTGTTTCCCGTATTACAAGGCGGCTTCGCGCTGGTGCTTTGCGAAAGCTACCTCCACCAAGTTTAAACAACAGACTGCTTCACAACATGTTCACTGTCAACTAGTTGTGCGAACTTCCATTGCCATCAACCGGAGTCCGATGATGATGAAATCTTGTCATAACAAGAGTGCGGCTTCTTAAAAAGCAGTTGGTTGATTATTCGGCTAACCAGAAAGCAGTAAATTTCGTCCGAAGCGCGGGTAATATTCCACACGCATGACGATTCGGATTGGCCTTCCCGAAGATAGCTTGCTTCGCCGCAACGCAGCCTCTGTACAAGGATACTCAACTAAGCAACAATGGCTAATCTGAACCAGATTTCCTTTTCGAGAAGGTCGGGACGTTTGCATGCTGATACAACGATTCCAGCAAATTTGTTACTGCAACCGCGAATAATTTCTATTTCGTCAGGAGAACGCCCGCACTCACGGCTAACTATTGACTCTCAGAGACTGCCTATTTTTCCTGTGCTAGAGTGACTTCTTTTCCTGTAGTTGCGTTCTCTACCCTACTGCCGTTGTCATCGTCATCGCTGCTATCGTCGTCGTCGTTGTCGTCTTCGCTACCATCGTCGCTATCTTCGATAAGAGTAATTAAGTACACAGGAAAACTAGGCGGTCTCGACCCTTATCTGTAGACCTGACCAGAACCACTGTCAGCACACTGCTGTGCCGTAAGGCAACATGGCACGCGTCACGGAACACGAAGTTCAGGAGTAAGGTCTCAGAAGTTCCTGATAAGAACTGCGTGGCCTGCACTGGTCTTTTTAATTTTTTTTTATTTGACCACTGTTCTAAACCAACACAGACTTGAACTTAGTAGCGATGTCCTGTCCGTCGCTGAGCGACCAGTCTTTCGGACCCCGCGTTCATCCATAATGTCGTTCCTTCGACTTCTCACTGCAGTTTGAGGACATCCTTTTCGCTTGCATTCCGTCCGCTGTGCTTATCCTCCTCGCACCAACGCGAGTCGTCCATTTGCTTCGCCAACCGACCGCCTTCGCAATCCGCTCTTGGCTTCTGCTTGCCAAACTAGTATGTGCCTTCCACGTCTCGCGCTTGCGCGCCGGACCATCACCACCGTCACTTGCTTAATTGTTTTCAAAGTTGGTCCTAGCCGCACTTCTGGCTTCGCATCTCGCCTTTCTAGTCCAGCGATAGCAAACCCCCAATTTCAAGACGTCTGCATCGGTTGCCGCCGATGTTTTGATTCTCATCGCCATCCTCAGCATCGTTCCAATTTCTCTCCTGACTCATCAACGCTCGCCTCGACCGTCAACTTTACTCAGCATCTATCTTTCCGCGTCAACAATACTTGGTACTGCGCGTGTCCGAACAACATGCCTAATAGATCAACGAGGCCCTATCCCGGCTCTCGCGACTGCTGTTTTGGTGTTGACGACCGCGTTCCTCATTCTGGAGTCGATCGAATCGAAGAAAAGACAGTCACAGCCCGAGATATCGTACAGCAAACTCCCAACTCCTGAACAGACCAGCGGCTTCTGGGCGAGAACTTGTTTTTGGTGGCTGGCACATACCTTCTCACTTGGATACTCCAGAGTGCTTTCTCTCGTCGATTTGCCCAAACTTGATATCGTTTTGGAAAGCCGCCATCTGCACCACGATCTGTCTATAGCTTGGAACAGCAGTAAGTGCTATTAACCTTCAGCTGTCATCTGACCCGAAAGCTCCTAGAAACTTGCTAAGCCATGAACCCAGATGACCAGCAGAGCAAGAAAAATCTACTGCGAGCGTACATCAAGAGTTATTTCTTGTCCTTTCTTTCTCCAGTCATACCGCGACTATGTCTCTCAGTGTTCACGTTCGCCCAGCCATTTCTCATCAACACCACTGTGAGCTTCGTCGGCCAAGAGAAGCCTGATGCCAACTTCGGTAAAGGGCTTATCGGCGCATGGGCTCTGGTTTACCTGGGCATCGCTGTCAGCAACTCGATGTTCCAATATCACAATTTGCGCTTCACAACGAGATTACGTGGAGGATTGGTTGCACTCATTATCAGCAGGCAATCAACACTCGAGAGGCAGACACGGGCGACATAACTGCAGTTGCTCTTATGGGCACTGACGTAGAGCGCATTCACATGTCAATGTCTGTGTTTCACTTGCTCTGGAGCTCATTGCTTGATATCATCATTGCAAGCTGGCTTCTGGGGCTTCAGCTCTCACTTGCGTGCCTTGCTCCTATCATACTGGTTATTGGTGAGTAAACAGAAACTTTCGGTTTTCAACCCAGCAGTGCTGACCAATAGGGCTCAGTCTTCATTGCCGCGATGTCCAAGGTCTCGGTGGCCACCAACACAGCTCAAAAGCACTGGATTGAAAAGATACAAGAGCGCCTTCGAGTGACCACAACAATGCTCAGTGAGATGAAAGCTGTGAAGATGCTAGGACTCACTCAAGTCATGTCGAACATGGTCCAGAATCACCGCACCGACGAGATCGAGACGTCGAAGTCTTTCAGGAAGTTGTTGGTAGCGACATTATTGCTTTGTAAGACTCACACACCCTTTTTCAGTATTTATCGCTAAGCCGAAAGCTTAGCCCTGAGCCCAATCAATCTTGCCCCTATCGTGACCTTCGGTATCTACGTCATCATCTCCGTTTACTGGAAGAACGATACCCTGTTGCCGGCGCAGGCATTCACGTCAATTGCTTTAATATCTTTGCTAACTACACCGGTCGTTGCCTTCATTCAGATCTTGCCCATGGTCGTTCAATCGTTATCCTGCTTCGATCGCATCCAAGATTTCTGTAATTACAGCTCTCCAAGAAAGACCGAAGATCAGCCTGTCAACCCATCTTCCTCAAATTCCCAGACAGCTTTGCCATCGAGGAAAGAGCCTACAGAGCTACCACAGTCAAGCAATCCCTATCAAGAACCTATTTTGTCTTTCAGCGGTGAAAGCTTTGGTTGGAAGGAAGAGCAGAGTTTACTTCATGAAATCAACGTTCAAATCCAGCCCAATACTGTCACGACCATAGTGGGGCCTGTTGGAAGCGGAAAGTCAAATCTCCTCAGCGCCATGCTGGGCAACATGATCAGAACATCGCCGATGATGACGAACAAATATGGAGATGAAATAGGCTGCAGTGGAGAGACCGCATACTGCTCGCAAACTCCATGGCTAGAGAATGGAACAATTCGACAGAACATTCTCGGTGTCTCAGCCTACGAAGAGAAAGGTATGACACCGTTGCGCTTGCATGCGGGCTTGAACCCGATTTTCAAGCCTTGAAGATGGGCGACTTCACTCTTGTTGGAACTTGGCAGTCAAGGCGGCAACCTCAGCGGCGGCCAAAAGCAGCGCATTGTGAGTGTTATTGACAGAAAAGGACCTAATCTTCTGGCCTGCCGCTGGCCATGCGCTAACGTTTGGCATCTAGGCTTTGGCAAGGGCAGTCTATGCTCGAAAGCGCATCGTTATTCTGGACGACATCTTCAGTGGGATGGATGCGCGCACTGCACATCATGTCTCAACCCATTTGATCGGACGTGACGGACTTCTACGGAGACAGCGCGCGTCCGTAATTATAGCAACTCACAGCCGTAGGTCGCTTTGTTTATGTAGTGCAGCAGACTCTAACAGCCATCTAGATAGGATCATGGGCCTAGCCGATAGCATCATCTCGCTGGACGGTGGCAGAGTGCGAGAAATAGGCAGCCCCATGGACCTAGTGCAAGGTCAAGGCTACGTCAGCAAGCTCGGGCTCAAGTTATCCCCTGACGAAGATGTTGCCAATGATTCCGCATCCTCTGTTGAGTCTGAGGTTTCTGAGAAGAACCAAGGAGAAACGTCTGAAATGGAGAATCCCAGAGAACAGAAGCACACGGATGTCAGACGGAAGAACGGCGAGAAGGCAGTCTACCTTTACTACTTGAAAAGTGCAGGCTGGAAGGCTATTGTCATGTACACGGCAGCTGTCACATCATGGTATTTCTTTTCGGAATTCTCCAGTAAGTCTTCTTGAAGCAACACAGCTAGACACGAGGCACACAGAGCTGACTTATGGCACTTAGCCGTTTGGGTCAAATGGTGGTCCGAGTCAAATTCTTCTAATGCAAACCAGGACGTCGGATATTTCATGGGTATCTATGCCTTGTTCGGGGTTTTGGGAACACTTAGTTCCTCAATCGCCGCCTGGTTCGCATTCATCGACATCATATCTAACACAGCATTGAAATTGCATTCAGACCTTCTTCAGACTACTGTTTCGTAACGTCCGACACCCACTTCTCGGCACCCCCCACTTCTCGGCACCCCAAAAATCGCTCACCGCCATGAATACCCCTCAACTTCAATCTTTAATATTTTCATCAATCTTTATCCAATTCTTACAATACTTTGTATAACGCATAATAAGGTCTCAATGCCATCATATACCGAAAATGATATTACCAATGCCCTTGAAGCGATTGCAAACGGTCAATCTATCAAAAAAGCTGCATTTAAGCATGGTGTGCTGCGATTAACACTACAATGTCGAATGAAGGGGGTGCAGACGCGAGATATAGCGTTTTCTGATCTGCAAAGGCTTTCTCTAACCCAGGAAAGTCATCTGGCTGAATGGGTTTGAATCCAGGCTGCCCTAGGCCTTCCTCTAACCTATCAGCAACTCAAGGACTTTGCTGAATGCATCCTATAGATCTATGGAGACTCCCAGCCTCTTGGAAAGAACTGGGTGCAGTCTTTTATTAAGAGAAACCTATCTATAAGGGTCTAAAGAAGCAGAGCAATTAATTCCTAGCGTATTAATAGAGCTTCAACTAATATAATCAGGCAATGGTTTAAGCACCTCGCTATACCTGAGATTATGGTGTTACGACCCGTTATGCATGGATAACAGTTGACCGACCCACTTGGGCGTCGGGCGGCTAGGACAGGACATTTGTACTGCAGGATCACGGGAACAACAGGAACTCACTCGGCACGGAAGAACTATGGTACAAGTCACGTGACGATAAGATAAGGAAACGATCAGTGGAGCACAGGAAGGAACGCTCAGTGATCAGTTGGCTTTGCCAACTGATCGCGATCACCTCATGCACCTAGGTGATCACCCTTAGATAGATAAAGGCTACTGTTCAGGACTTGTATATAGTATGACCCTGAGCCTGGCTCATGGTCAGACTTCCATAGCTCTTCAGCAATCAACTTAGTATTCATCCTCACGGATACTCTCAGCTTACCTTCACTGCGAATCACTTATTGAGTCTAAGACTGATCACCTTAGCCTCTGAAGAACCGATCTACTGCAGCCTACGAACTACGACCTACGACCACAACCCAGTGTACTGTTAGAACGTATCAATCCCCAGCTTCTGTTAGCAGACCCTACTGTCGGATAGCTGACCGTAACATATGGCTATTAAGGCCTCTAATTAATATAATATGGATGAGACTGGTATTCTAGAAGGCAGAGGATTAAATAGGCTTATTTTTAGATCATCAGAAACTTATTCTATCTGCAAGAAATAGCCTGGATTACGTGCTTGGATATCTCTGATTGAGTGTATCTCTGTAATTAGTAAGGCACTGCCTCCACTTGTTATATATAAGGGTAAGAATGTCCAGCAGTAGTGGTTCCCTCTTGAACTGACGCTATATGAATCCTGGAAGTTCACAGTTACAGAAAACGGGTGGACTTCAGACTCTATAGCTGTTAAGTGGTTAACAGAGGTCTTCATCCTTTCAACCCAGCTGTTACGACCCGTTAGGCACAACACGTTGGAACAACCCCGCCTGGGATCTCGGCGGCTAACGCGGAACATATGTAAGCAGTGACATAAGTGTAACCAGAAACCATCGGAAAAGGAAGAACTATGGTATAGGTCACGTGACTTTGGGAACAGTACGGACATAAGACAAGGATGGATATGTTAGATATGAGCTATCCTAGCTATCCATGGATATGTTGGATATAAGCTATCCCAGCTATCCAGCACCGTAAGGAACTGTTTGGAACCTGTATATAGCATAACCCTGAGCCTAGCTTATGGTCAGACCTCCATAGCTCTTCAGCAATCAACTTAGTATTCATCCTCATGGATACTCTCAGCTTACCTTCACTGCGAATTACTTATTAAGTCTAAGACTGATCACCTTAGCCTCTAAAGACCGATCTACTACCAGCCTACAACCTATGACCAGACCACGACCCCAGTATACTGTTATAACGTGTCAATCCCCAGCTTCTGTTAGCAGACCCTACTGTCGGATAGCTGACCGTAACACCAGCTAGGGGACCCCTCAGAGGCTAGATTATTGATCTTGGATGGTTATAGAAGCTATGAGACTACTTCTTTTATGTATATATGCTTTAGGAATAAGATACACTTGCTGTTCTTGCTAGCATACATGTTACACGTCCTTCAGCCACTTGATCAGTTGGTTTTTGGGCCCCTTAAGGCATTATTTAAGAAGGAGCTTGGATTACTAGCTGAATGGGATGCTGGTATAGTTGTGGGCAAGAGAAACTTTGTTATATGCTATGGCAAGGTGCGTAAGGCAGCCCTGATAAGCAAGAATATTATTAGTGGCTGGAAATGGACTGGTTTGTGGCCTGTCAGTATAGCTAGACCCCTTATGAGCCCTCTGCTGCTTGAGAACACGTCAACCCCTGCCAAACCAGCTGGTCAGGTCTGCAAAGGGCTCTCTGATGGTAAAGTAAGCGAAAAATAGGCGGCAGATATATCAGCAGTCCCTTAGTTAACCCCTAAAAAGAGGGATAAGCTTCAGGATCAGTTCAGCCTGTTCAGTAAGCTGGATAACAATAAGCATACATAGCGCCTGCTTTTTCAGAAGGTTTAAAAGGGCTTTAATGAGAAGGCATACTAACTAGCAGTAGCCTAACAAAAAATTGAGGCACTATAAGCAGAGGTTGATGCCAGTAGGGTTAGGAAACAGAAGAAGGTCAAAATGAGCCTAAATTCAAAGTTTGCTGATATTAAGGCTATTTGGAGGGCTTAAATCGAGGCGGGCGAACTTGAAAGTAGCATAGATGAATCTAGTGAGTCTGAAAACCCTAGTGACAGCGAAAGTTGCATCGTCGTGGCATCACAATACATATAAATATTAGTTGAAGTTGATGTGTATCAATGTGAGGGCATCGAAATTAGGGGTGCCGAGAAGTGGGGGGTGCCGAGAAGTGGGTGTCGCACGTTAAGTCGGCCTTTTCGCGATTCCCATGACTATGTATGCAGCTACTAATTTCGCGGCCACAGCGCAACATTTGCTTTCTTCTCCAAGACAGACAATGGAGAGATTCTGAACAGGTAAGGGTTCAGTCGGTAAATCGGCCTTGGCATTACCTGACCTGTTCGAAGATTTAGTGAGGATATGCAGCTGCTGGATATGGACTTACCATCAAACTTGTTGAACTATACATCAAGTGAGTATCAGAGACGTCTTCCACAGAAGCTGTCAACTAACAATAGTTTCTCGTAGCCGGAGGAACAATACTTGCTAAGGTTATCATCCTGGTCGTATTCTCTCAGTATCTCGGAGCCACCCTACCGTTCCTTTGCGCCATACTCTACATGCTGCAACGCTTCTATCTCCAGACATCGCGACAGGTCCGTCTCCTCGGTATTGAGGCGAAAGCGCCTCTTTACACCCACTTTTCCGAGTCGGTGACCGGAGTTGCTACAATTCGGGCCTTTGGGTGGCAAGAACAATACCAAGAGCGCAATTACAAGCATGTTGACGAATCGCAGAGACCCAGATACACCCAGGGCTGTATCCAGGCGTGGCTCACTTTTGTTCTTAACTTGATCGTAGCCATCCTGGCAGTGATTCTGGTTGTTATTGTCGTAACGTGGCACCACAAGTTTAGCGCTGGAAGCGTCGGTGTCAGCCTCGTTATGATCATTGGCTTCAGCGAGGTGTTGGCTCGTCTCATTCAAAGCTGGACAAAGCTGGAGTCCAGTATCGGTGCGGTCGCTAGAGTGAGACGATTCGTATCGGACACTGAAACTGAGTCGGCGGCTGGAAGATGGACACCGCCAGTGAACTGGCCGCAAACCGGAGCTGTGACGTTTTCGGACGTTGTGGCGTCTTATGGGTAAGGACTACTTGTAACCTCTTGACTCAATTTGATGGAATGGTACAGCTAACCCCTCGGTAGGTCTGACGCTTCACCTGTTCTCAAGAAACTATCGCTAGCTATCGGAGGCGGCCAGCATGTGGCGATTTTCGGCCGATCTGGAAGTGGCAAAACCTCCTTGGTCATGACTTTGCTACAAATGACAGACATCAAAGAAGGGAGTATCGACACTGACGGAGTTAATGTCTCGACCCTGCTGCAATCCGAGCTCCGCGCATCCATCAATGTCATTCCCCAGGATCCATTCTTGATGTCTGGGACTATTCGCTTCAACCTCAACCCTTATGGAAATAGTCTAGATGACGACAGGTTCGTTGAAGCACTTGGAAGAGTTGGCGTTTGGTCACTCGTGCAAGATCAGGGTGGTTTGGATGTAGAAATGAACGTCAACGCGTGGTCAGCTGGCCAGAAGCAACTTCTCTGCTTGGCCAGAGCCATGCTACGACAATCAAAAGTTTTGATATTGGATGAGGCAATGAGCAGGTAAGTGCTCTGACGAGAAAAATGTCATCATGCAGTTACTAACATTTCCTCAAGTGTGGACAGTGAGACAGAGGCAATAATGCAGGATATAGTTGATTCTGACTTCAGAGACTGTACAGTTCTTGCCGTAATGCACAGGCTCAAGCACGTCACCCACTACAACAAGGTTGCCCTGTTGGGAGATGGAAAACTTCTCGAGTTTGATACCCCGGAATCTCTAATCTCTGGAGAGACACAGTTCGCCGAGATGTTCAAGATGAAAGCAAACTAACATGTTATCGGTTGACTTCGGCTCTTTCTTTATGGCAGGACTCTCATTTTTTGCACTGAATTGAATCATCTACTCTGCGGAGTCTACCCTGCCCAGAATGAGCAAAAGGATTGGATTATTCCTACGTCGGCCAGTGATCCGAATCAAACCTTAGCCTCCCGTGTTTCGTAGTGCTCCTGCTCAACCACTGGTACATCTTCTGCGAGGCAGCGACGTTTTGCCTCCCTCCTGCTTAGATAAAGTATGAGGAGAATCATGAATAGTTGCGCAACGGTCGTGCCTAGACTACTGCGGAACCCAAGTATCCATCGCGGGGCACCTGTCGCTGGGAAAAGCGCGACTTGTGCTCCAGCCATGATAC